ACAACACGCAGATGAAATAAGGAAAAAGGCAAGGCGGAATCAATTTGTTGCAGTTTGAAAGGTACCTCTTAGAATCTTAATATTAAACTGATAGATTTGATTAAGAATGTAAAAATAATATTTTTATCTATAAACACGACATCTTTATTACAACCCATGGAGCAAGAAACAATTACAGCATTTAGAGCATACAACTTAAGAAGATGAAATATACATACGTACTATAGAACTTTAATTCTTAATATCGTTTCATGAGCCTTAGCTATTATATTACACATCTAAGTAGAGTTTCGAGGCTACCATATTATATAACAGTAAGAGACGGAAAAATCATATTGTACTATTTTAACATTTACATAAGCTGTTTTAACGTGATGGAACAAATTACATGATCTTATGTATTATAATCACTTTGAATAGTGCAACATTTTTCCGGAATGAATTACTTGCCTTAATCGCGACCTGTCTGTTGTTAATATATCTCAATATTCCAGTTAAGGGAGACACCCAACCCATGACCCTCATGGTGAAGGTGCATTCTGATATTATGGAAGGAATATGTTTAAGTATATCTTCTATCTTAGCATTTCCTATGAACAGACAGGGCTTATATTTGGATTTTGCTTAGCTCTTATTTTGGGAAAACGATTTAATAGGAAATTCGAGACCATCTTACTGCAAGAGTTTTTGTTATTAAGGATGATTATTGTGTCGTTTATCAGCATGGCAAGAAGAGTTTAGGTAGTTTCCTACTCCTATATAATTAGGGTGTAAGTAATATCAGGTTCAGTATAAAAGAATAAAAGTTTACCTTTTTAGATGCTCTGAATTTTATATTTTACCATAGTTACAAAAACTAAAATTGAATTGTCGTGTGACCGAATTATGGAAGCAGAGTCATATCGTCCTAATCTCCAAAAGAAAGCAGAACCCAAAAATGCTTATAAATTGCTGCAGGATACAATCATCAGAAGTTGTTGAGCATACTGTAGAAAACAGAAATGGTAGGCCTACTGATAAATGCAGGATCAGGACCATACTCTAATAGATTATGGAATACGTAGAATAAAGATAGAAAGACCGGCCAGAATTACATAGAATTGGTCAGTAAACTTAACGAGATAGAAAGCGTTGAGCAACCAACAAAAAGGAGGCGACTCAACTGCTCAGTGATGCTTCTAACCATATCATCATTCATCAACTCAACCAGACTTATGTTCGGGATAACGTGATCCTACTAATATTCCTTGGACCATTAAATCTTAACGATCCTAAAATGCTATTATGCTCTGTTGTAATTACCCAGAATCATGTAGAATACTTTCGTAGCCTGACTTTAACGCGTGAGAGCATACACTCGAATATATAAATTATTAGATTAACATGAAATTTAATAAAAAAATCTTTCTATATCTATCTTCTTATATTTATATATTTACATTTATTTTTGTTTGTCAGCATATATAATATATCAGATGGAACCGGTTAGTCTTCTTAATTTAGAGTTAGCTTAAAGTTTATGTAAGAATAAGTTAAAGCCTTGATGAAGTCTGTCAATTGACAGAAATAGGCAAATAGGCTACTCAATAATGATTTTTTATAAAATAATATTTATAAAACAGTAACTCAGTCAGCTAAAATCACCTGACACAAACCTCAACCGTTATCCAATAAAAAATAGGAGCCAAAAGTTGTTATGTCTTTTTTATAAGAGAATCAGTCAGAAATTTCCTAAATAAATTCATCAATAATTCTGAATCTAGTTGTTGAGTTGCATAAAGATAATTCGAAGAAAAATATTTTGTATCAAATATACTGAGAAATTGAAAAAATATAATGGCTATATATAAACAAAAAAATAAAAAAGTTGTCTGACCTAGTTTTCGCATCTCGATCGTGCTGTCAGGGCGATCCATTTAGGTGACCCTTGTCAGAAGTCCTCCTATATACTATTTAGCATAGTTCCCAGCGTTTTACAGTGGACTTGGTACATTCACAAACATTTCGCCGGCATCCTAGTTGGTATTTTCAGCGAGTCTTGCCATTTTTAGCACCAAGCTACAACTCGTAAAAGAAACAAGTGAAGTCAATCTCTCGACTAAATTGGATTGCCAAATAGCTGTGCTATCATTCTTTTTTCTCTCCACTGTACAATGCTGGGAATTATGATTACTAATATAGCAGAGGACTTCGGACAAGATGCGCCCAACTATGTCTCCCTGAAAGCACGACCAGTGCGAAAACGACTTCAGACTACTTCTATACAGCTAAAGGAGATTTGGACCAAAATAGAAGCCATGTCATCTTGGTTAACATATCTGTGTTAAAAATATATAAAATTTAAGTTCAGAAGATAAAAGACCTCCCTGTCCTGGAATCAATCCTGGTGTTGGGTGGAGTTATATCAGTTAGCTCCTTGTTGGGGCCGTCTTGAGACCTAAGTGAGATATTTATTATAATGATAAAAAGAAAATATAAAAGATATTAAAGAATAATAAGGAAAAGAAATTTTTGAAAGCTTAACCAATTTTGAAAAACTATAAAGCGTCTGGGAATGTACCAAGTCCACGGTTCGACTCTGGAACTTATCGTGCATACTATGGACTGCGCACAAGGTGTGTTACTCTAGGTCTTTCTGCCAATATGACCAAGTTGAGAAAACAAGGTAAAACAACTAATGTATAGCGAAAGGAGACTGCGAACATACAAAAGGCCATACCATCTTGGTCTTCATACAGTCTATAAAACTATGGTTTGCAAGCGATATATTAAAAGACAGACAAATTATTTTTACCTCCTTAAAGGACAGCCGTAATTATCAATGTTTTATCCATAAATAAAATTTCCAATCACCCCAGGTCTAAAAAGGTGGTGACTAGAACTATTATTCAGGATTAAATGATATTCTAGAAACCTGCTTTCCATGAGTATAAGTGTTTGTTAACTTAACGAAAAGTTTAGATATTGGTAATATGGTTTTATTCATTCCATTATCTTACATCAAAATTATACGTTCGCTTTAAAGATTTAATATACTTTGTTGGGTATAACAGTGATTGGAATGCGAAGAAGCTTCCAAGTGTAACATCGTGTTCCGTTGCCGCGAAATATGTTTATTCAGCAGCCTAGAAGATCAGACCCTCTCAAATACAGGGCAGTTATTGGATGCGAAAAAGTAAATCAGCTACAACTTTTGGACAATTACTTTCCACATAAAAGGAGGTATATACTTGGAATGCTAATCAGCCGATATAATATGGTGTCAAATGAAGCAATTTATCTTTACTAACGATGAAATCAGATATTAAAAAGATTAATTAATGAAATACAAAGTATGAATAGCGAACAATTAAGAAATACTTAAATTGAAACTATGAGAGAAATCAACTTAAAAGGCTATTTTGCATCTGAATTTGTAACTGCTATTTATACGAAAATATTTTTTCTCCTAGAGTCGTGCTGGTCTAGAGACAAACTTGTCACTGAATATGATAAAGTATTAGTAAGGTACAGCGCTTGCGCAGATTTCAAGGCAACAAGGGCCTATCTGAAATTCAATTGATGGAGTAGTTTTTATCGATAAAAAACTCACATAAGGGGCATCAATGGCGCCTGATTAAGGTGCTGTTCATCATAGTGGAACATAAAATACCAATTAATTGTATATGAACAATAGCCCCACAAAGAATAATTATTGCATTCAAATTTGCAAACAACTCAACTCGATGGAAATCCTCCTTCAGACTTTGGCAATACGAATTTACAACCCCCTTTAGAAATTATCATATGCAATGAGAGTTTTAAAGGCATTGTGGATACAAACTTTGGCAGTGTATTCAAAAATCTGTCCTTGAACAGAATAGATATACTAGAAATCGTCGCTGAGTAGTTTAAGAAGTAATTATAAAAGATGACAACTTTTAATATAGTAAAAAATTGTGGTTTCTGATAAATTGGGTATGAATTGTAGAACAATAGAAATCATATTTTAAGATAACAATAACAATAATAATGGGAATAAAAGGTGAATCACTAGGAGGTTGTAAGATATTCTAAATTCCAGACTGAAGTTAAAAATATACTACTTGATTTTTATAATTAAGATGGCTTAACCAATATGACAAGATGGACTAGATTTAACTTGCTCATGCGCGAGTGAAAAACGGTAAACTATTTCTTCAAAGAATAAATACTTACGAAATTTGTGAGATATGCTTCATCATTTCCACCATCTCACCAGTATACCCACGGGTGATGTCATACGTGCAAGAGGGATTGGGTGAATAGCTCATTTTACAATCTTCTACCATTACATTATGATCTATTGTATCGGGAAATAGGACCACTTCATTCAAGCCTTGGAAGGCAGAGGATTCACTTGGTGTAGTTTGGTAACCAGTATTATGATAGAGGCTTTCCTCCTGGAATGAAAGAATTGAAGGATGAAGCAAAATGAGGTTGGTACAATAACATATAACAATGAAAATAGTTTGCAAATATTCATGAGTAATGTGATGTTTATCTAATAAAAATGAGTTCTAACAATAAAACAAACTTGAATCTTAGTAGTTATGATAATTCAAGAAATTTACTTGTTAAAAACTCATATCAAACTTTTAATTTATGTAGTTATCTTCTCAGAGTAGCTTATAATTATGCTATAATTTGCTTCTCATATGAAACGCATAATGACAAATTTATCAATAGAGTTGTGAAAAGACAAAATGACGACAAATCATAATATAACCAAGTAAAAAATGGATTAATCCAATTTTAAGAAATTGTTTGATGCTTTAACTAAATGGTGTGAGAAAGATTTAAGACAATAAAATAAAATAGATATAACTATGAGCATATTTGCAAAACAACGGATAAAAGATAATCAAACGAAGCCCTTCAAAAATAAATATCTGAAAAAAACTCTGGCAAAGCAAAAGTTTTGTCATTTGTTGGCCTACCAGCCCGTTAGACAAGCTAGATCTGTAAAAGATATCTCCTTTTCTTACAAAAATAATATAATAGTTTCTGTTCTGCCTTTAAATGTAAACTAGAAATCCAAAGGTAGTTTTGTCTCACCGAGTCATCACGAGCGTCGAAATTATAAACTGAAGCAGCGTAGGGTATTTGTGTTGCATAGTTAGTGTGGTGGTAAACAAGCACTGCTTTAGCGGCGTATACAGATGGATAAAATATAAAATCAGGTCGCAAGTAGACTCTGTTTAGGTTAACGCCACGCGTGTCAGTACGGTAATGGCCATTAAACACTCCATCCGGGTTCAGCATAGGAATCATCTTGAAGACAAAGCAACGCCGCAGCATCTTGGCTCGAGGATCTGTAGGTCGTAGTAAGAACTCAAGAGCTCCATTGAACACATGACTGGCTGGCGTTTCTCCAGGATGCACACGACTACTGATGAAAAAAACCTGAAAGGGAAGTACAAGAGAATAAACGATTTCATAAAATCAACTCTAACGAAGAAAAAACACTGAACTTAATAAAATATAGGAAAAACGCTAAGGAATTAAATTAAGTCCTAGCTTTAATGTGGTCTGAAGCGATCACCAAATGATGAATTAGTCCCCCAAGCAGAGCTTTACAGTGCTGTTTGTGTTGAACAATTCCATTGCTGAAAGGAGGATATCGTGTATATAACAAAAATATGCCATTCAGTTAATCTCATCCATTAAACATGGAAGGTTTTATGGTACTTCCGAGACCGAAAGACATCCCGATACACTAAAATAGGCTAAAATGTGTGGTACGATCCTTTTGTAGAAGTGAGATGCAGTGCTGATATATATTGATAAACATACTTTTAATATTAATGCACAATTTAGGGATCTAGCGAAACTTTTATGTTTTGACATCATAATCATATCAGGTCTCCTAAAATTCATCAGTTTATCCATTTACTCTTCTCCTTCTTTGAGGGCATATGAAGTGGAAACTACCAGTAGCTATTATAGACGCGAACATTGCAAGCATCTATCAAATTCCCGCAAACAGTCTTTGCTGCTTCGAGCATGTCCGGAGCAATTTTTCGTAAAAATTGATAGACTGCCAGCAACTGCTCTTGACACACAGCATGAGTTACTGTTACACAGTGGACTATGAATTTGGTTAAAGCAAAAAAATTTCTAGGAAACTCATTTCATGCGAAATTGCTCGTCTAGATCATTTAACAGTTAATTCACTGAAACCGGATAGACTTAACACATCCACTTGAGGTCGTGTCGGTTCGGCTGTTCGCAGGGACGGCGCAAAATTCAATGCCTTTTATGAAGTCGATCTCAAGAATAAAGCAAAACCAATAAGCTACTATTAACGTCCATTTGAAGAGAATTTTGAATTATAAGTCAATATAGAAGTTGTTTGACCTTGTTTTCGCAACTTGGTCCTGAGTCCATTGTATGCATAATTATTTCCAAAGTCGGACCGTGGAAGTGGTACATTCCCAGACGTTTCGCCAGCATCGTAGTCGGCATCGTCAGTGAGTTTTACCATTCTTAGCACTATATTACAACTCGACAAAGAGACAAGGTGCGTTTCTATAAGCCTTCCTACCATTATGACCAAGTTGCGAAAACAAGGTCAAACAACTTCTATACAAAAATCAGGTATGCTTATCTAACTATAATAGACAATAACTCATAAAGACAAAATATGTGTTGAAAATTAAGCGGAAATTAGCCGTTTGAGACAGAATATTTTTGGCTATCTTTTAAACAGTAATTTAGTGAAGTTGTCACTATCTATCAGGTAAAAAGACACGCGATCATTAAATCTTTTTTAAAGTTTTTCAGAAATCGACACTAAACTGTAAGCACAGATTTCATCGTCTTGCATTAGCTCGTATACACTCTATAAAATATTATTATTTCTACTTGTGTGTCCGTTCAGGTTAAACTCGATGCCCTATATGATGTCTCAGAACTTTCTTAAGTTTGTGTTATTTTAATTTGGAATTTAAGGCTATGTGAAATTTAGTGGAATCGTCAGTTCTACTCAATCATTTTGGTAAAATTGTTAAACCTTTTTTTCGCAACTTGGTCAAATTGGTAGGAAGACTTAGAGGAACGCACCTTGTCCTGAGTCCATTGTATGCA